AAAAAAAAAAAAAAAAAGAATGGGCCTGGTGCGGTGGCTTCCGCTTGTAATCCCAGCACTTTGGGAGGCCGAGGCAGGTGGATCACCTGAGGTCAGGAGCTCAAGACCAGCCTGGCCAACATGGCGAAACCCTGTCTCTACTAAATACAAAAATTAGTTTGGCATGATGGTGGGTGCCTGTAATCCCAGCTACTCAGGAGGCTGAGATTGAAGAATCACTTGAACCGGGAGACAGTGGGTTCCGTGAGCCAAGATCGTGCCACTGCACTCCAGCCTGGGAGGGTGAGTGAGACTTTGTCTCAAAAAAAAAGAATGAGTCCTAAAGTAAGATTTTTCCTGTAAAGGGGTCAGGATCCAGACCCCAGGAGTGGGTTTTTGGATCTCACATAAGAAACAATTCAGGGCGAATCTACAGAGTAAAGTGAAAGCAAGTTTATTAGGAAAGTAAAGGAATAAAAGAATGGCTACTCCATAGACAGATCAGCCCCAAGGGCTGGTTGCCCATTTTTAAGGTTATTTCTTGATTATATGCTAAACAGGGAAAGGATCATTCATGCCTTCCCTTTTTAGAGCATTTAGGGTAACTTCCTGATGTTGCCATATCATTTGTAAACTGTCATGGCGCTGGTGGGAGTGTAGTAGTGAGGATGATCAGAGGTCACTCTCATCGCCATCTTGGTTTTGGTGGGTTTTGGCTGGCATCTTTACTGCAACCTATTTTATCAGCAAGGTCTTTATGACTGGTATCATGAGGTGACCTCTTCTCATCCTGTGACTCAGAATGCCTTAATCTCCTGGGAATGCAGCCCAGCAGATCTCAGCCTTATTTTATCCAGCCCCTACTCAAGATGGAGTTGCTCTGGTTCAAATGTCTCTGAGCATTTGACAAGATGAAGTATGAAGGATGGATGCTCAAGAATATAGCATCTATCCTCAGTCAGACAGGACTGTTCTCTGCTTAAAGCACATCCTCCAGCCAGGCGCGATGGCTCATGCCTGTAATCCCAGCACTTTGGGAGGCCGAGGAGGGCGGATTACCTGACGTCAGGAGTTCGAGACCAGCCTGGTCAACATGGTGAAATCCCATCTCAAAAAAAAAAAAAAAAAGCACATCTTTCACTTGGACACCTTCATGCTTTTGCTCTTCCATTTATCCTAAAGGAGTACTCTTCTCCTCCTCTCCCTTTCTAAGATCCCCTTTTTCAAGATCTAGTTCAAATTCCTCTTTCATAAAGCCTTCCCAGTCATCAAGGGGAAGAACTCCATTAAGCCTCCCTCCTTATTCTAAATTCCTTTGCATCTTACTGTTCACAACATTCACAACATCTGGCCATGAATTGTTTTGGCACAGTTTAAGAAACTAACTCCAAAGTCCGATTTTTTTGGTTTATAAAAGCCACCCTTTCCTTTAGTGCTTAAAATTACTAGTCTAAGCCCTCATGATGATCAGCCACTGCAAGTTTAGCAGTTTCCTGGATCCCCTCACATGTAATCCTCAGAGAATGCTTATATTTCCTGCAGATCCCTGCTGCTTCTGGGGTTCCTCTGGTCACTTCTGGCCATCTTGTGATGAGCTTCTCCAGCTGTTCCTGCTTTCCCCACCCCCCTCATCCCAAGTGCAGACATAGGCCCCGCCATTATCTGCCAGATATGTAAGAGATCAGCTGAAATACCTGCTTCATTGAAAGCTTTGGAATAACAGGAGGGGATTGTGTAGGAAAGAGGGGAAAAAATCCACAGAATGAGATATAGGAGGTTATTGTTCCATTCATTCATCTGCACAGGGTATTTTGTTTTTTTCTCTCACACTGTGCATTCTTCATTCTGCTGCCACATTATCCTGAGACTTACCATCTGCCACGGAGTGACTTTGCTCATGTCTGTCACTGGTCCATTTGCTAGAACCCCCCCTCCCCACCGCCAGGTGCTGGATCCTGATCAGGAGGCCCAATGAGAAGGGAAAACCCCATGGTGGCCCCAGACTCATTTCTCAAGACACATCCTACCCTGGAGAGATGGATCTCTTCCCACAGTACAGGTAGTTTCAACGTCATGAAGGAGAGCTGTGTAGCTCAGCATGGTCTTAAGCTACTAAGAATATGATTTTGGCTTTACTGGCATAAAGCCATTGAAGTGTTTCTCAAAAGCAAACAAACAACAAAGTCTCCTCCAAAAATTGAATCAGAAAATAGCAGGTAATTTAAAAAACAACTTTCCCTGGCTTCTTGATATTACATTTTCAAAAATATTGATACTCAAGCTCATTAAAACAGTCTAGCACATTTTTTCTCCCTTAAATATGTTTTATTATACCTTACAAAAATTAGCAGGCTAGTAAAACATCTGGGAGGAGAATGGTAGTGCCATCCAAGGGGAGGCCAGGGATCTGTCCCTGTCTTTGAAGGCTCACGGTCTGGGTGGGTGGGTTGTGTTTTGAGGAGTCATTAACAAAAATGTTCTCAAGAGTGACATGTTATTAATTTGGATGTGAAATAAGACTGTTAGACCAAAATGCTCTTCCCAATGTATTCACAACTCAGCCCTCTTTGTCTTAGTCCAGACCTTGCTGAGATCCCTTTGATCCTTTGGAAGAGAAAAATGTCTTATTTCATCTCAGTCAGTGGATGCTGAGTCTGGAGAAGTCCTGGGAAGCAAGCAGTACTTTAGCAGGGGAAACGTGTCCCCTCGTCAGTCTGCCTGCCAGGGAATAGGCAATGGTTTGTCCGCTGGATGGGCCCAAAGTTATTCAAAAGAGCCGGGACAGCCACTCCCTGGAAAATTCCTTTCTGGAAGGGAGCTCCCCAGGAACTAGGAGGCAATGTCAACAATGAGATATGCTTCCCTCCTCTTCCACCAGGAGTCTGCCACGAGCTGGTGAGGAAGGCATCATGAACGCTGCAAAAGGTTAGAGATGCCCAAGACGTGTTATTAGTAAGTGCTGGGATACTTGCTAAGAATTTAGATATGAGGGATATGGATGGTCCCAATTAGGAGGCTCTTAACCTTTTCTAGGTCACAAAGCCATTTGAGAATTTGACTCTTCCCACTTCCCTCTCAATCTATGTAGGCACACAATTTCTTGTATAATTGAAGGGTTTTCCTAGAACACTCTGAAGCTTCTGCTCTAGACTATAAATGCCTGGAGGGCAAGGACTGGATTTGTTCTCTAATGTGTTCCAGCATCTACCAAAAATGCCTAAGATGGAGGAAGTGTCAATCAATGTTTATTAAGTGGTAAGATAAGATGCAGATGTGCACTTGCCTGTCAGCCTCTGCAGAGCCAGGCTGAGATGTGCAAATGCAGTGGCATCAGTGCCTTGAGGTGCTTAGAGGCTAGCAGTGCTCGCATCCCTGGCACTATTCTTTTCTTTTGTGACGAAGTTTTGCTCTTGTTTCGGGCTGGAGCACAACGGAGCAATCCCGGCTCACTGCAACCTCCTCCTCCTAGGTTCAAGTGATTCTCCTGCCTCAGTCTCCTGAGTATCTGGGATTACAGGTGCCTGCCACCATACCTGGCTAAGTTTTGTATTTTTAATAGAGACAGGGTTTCACCATATTGACCAGGCTGATCTTGAACTCCTGACCTCAGGTGATCCACCTTCCTTGCCCTCCCAAAGTGGGTTATAGGTGTGAGCCACTGGGTCTGGCCTGGCACTATTCTTCTTGACATTTAAGGCCAGGGCTGATGGAATGTGAGACCTTCTCTCTCCTAACCCGCTGGTCCTGACCTAATCTAGTGAACTGAGGTCCAGGACCCAGGTTTTGACCTAAAGGACAAAGACTGAGACAAAATTAATAAAAGTAGGGAGTTTACTTGGGCCAGATTTGAGGACTACAATTTGGGTGCATAGATTCAAGTTGCCCTGACTATATGCTAAGATTAGTTAGCAGCAGTTACACGTGAGTTTTTAAAGAAGAGGCAGTTCCTAAGTTGTTTGCTAAGAAGTTACATCGAAATAACATAAGCTATTATTTAGCTGTACATTGTTCTTTGTATCACAAATGCCAGGAACATGAAGATAATAGGTGAGGTAGCTCGTCAAGACCAAAACACCTTTAAACACTTGCCCCTAGCCCTGGGAATGGCGGGGGACAGTGGGCATGACTGAGGTCCCACACTCATGTCTCCCTGGGACTGATAAATTTGCATGCCTCACAGAACTTAGACTGCTCTCAGCTATTTTTCTTTTCTCACAGGGAAGAGATGAGCAATGACACTTTGAAGGTTCTTGGATTGCTACTCAATTTTTGCAGTGACTTTGATATCAATTTATCCTAAATGCTTCTCTGAATTCAGTCATTCAGGTGTGCTGCTTTTACTGAGTATCTTTGGTCTACTGTGTTCCAGGAGGGTGCTTGATAGATATTGGGGGCTGAGTCACCACAACAGCTGGTCTTGATCACCTCAAGGGTCTCTGCCACCACCAGTAAAGAAGCCAGGGGCCGCTGTTACCATTGCCACTTCTAGAAACTACAGGCCTGCTGTTAACTATGCTGGGAATTCAGAAAGCTATGGGACCCTAGAGTAAAATGGACTGTGTCCCAAAGTATTAGAGCCTTTCATGAAAGAGGTCCATCAATTCACATGCCCACACATTCACTGATTCTCTACACTGCCAGGATGGAACTGAGCACAGCTCACCAGTTCAGAGTCCTACCCTTGTGGTGAATTCCTCTTAGGGGCTCCACAATCCTTTCTTGCAACCTAACCTCAGACTAGGGGCAGTTGCATTCATCAGACCTATTTTTATATCCTTGAGTTTAAATGAGGATCAGAGTTCCAGTCCCTTTTTACCCCTGGGAGAATCCCAATGTTTAATGTAATTTGGTATATGCAAATAGATATAAAAGGATTCTTCTTATCTCTACGTGCTGCAGAAATAGAGGCACTAATGTAAGCAGATACTCTGAGGGGTGGGTTCAGGAAACGTGCCGGTAGTGCCAGGCGGGGAATGGATGTTGTCTGCTCGTCTCAGCCACACTGGAACCCAGACTCTTGCCTAGCCAAAATATGCTGCTAGTCTTGCTTAGTAATAGACATTTAGCCTTATTTTTTTTTCCAATGACTTTTCCTTCACTCTCATGTTTCATAATCTTTTCCTAGTTTTTGGCACTGCTGACATACCTACATCTTGGATTATTCTCCCCTGCTTGCTAATCCTGTACCAGTGGCTTTCTGTTGGTTTGCTTGCAATTGAAGGCTTTCACCAAGGCTCTATTTCCATTTTTTGAGATGAGGGCTCACCATGTTGCCCAGGCTGGTCTTAAACTGCTGGGCTCAGGGATCTCTGTGCTCAGTCTCCTCAGTAGCTGGGATTACAGGCATGAACCACAGCACCCGGCCCCTTTTTTACCCCTTTTCGACATAGACTTCTCCAGAGTATTAGGTTTCCTATCTATTTGCTTACTTACTCACCCACTCCTTATTCACTTATTTATTGAATTTCTTTCATGTCTCTGTTATGATGTTGGGCATTGGGAATACCAAGATGAATAAAACCTAGTTTCTACCTTCAGGGAGTCACAGATACTGATAAGGCATAGTCTGACCCAGTACCTGGCTCTTTCTACTCACAGTCTGGTACTCATTGCCCTCTATTGAAAGGCTAAGGCTTGATTTTAATCTCACATCTTTCATGAATCATGGGATTCATGAAAGATGTGAGATTAAATGTAAGCTAGCACCACTAGCTTACATTGATTTTCTTCTCTATACTGTTCTGGTCAAGAGAGCTGGAGTTTTTACCTTCAATAGTTTGTTACGCTGGGTAATTCATTTAACCTGTGTTAGACTTAACATCTGTCTGTGACATGAAGAGGTTATAGGACTAGGGTCCTTCCATTGTCAAAATTCTGTTTCTGTGATCATATATAATTGTGGGGAGGGGGAGATGGCCAATATAAAAGAGCAATTATATAGTGAAACCAGTACTTACAGAAAAAAAGAAAAACCAACTTATTGGTGACATCCTCATGAGCATTGCTAGTACATCATAAAATTGTTGGTTGGGCCTGAAAAATACCCATCCTTATCACCTATTATAATCAGCCAGTTGCGGCCAGGTGCAGTGGCTCATGTTTGTAATCTCAGCACTTTGGGAGGCCTAGGCGGGCGGATCACCTGAGGTCGGGAGTTCGAGACCAGCCTGACCAGTATGGAGAAACCCTGCCTCTACTAAAAATACAAAATTAGCTGGGCGTGGTGGCACATGCATGTGATCCCAGCTACTCAGGAGACTGAGGCAGGAGAATTGCTTGAATCCAGGAGGCGGAGGTTGCAGTGAGCCAAGATTGCACCATTGCACTCCAGCCTGGGCAACAAGAGCAAAACTCCATCTCAAAAAAAAAAAAATTAGCCTGTTGCCAGACCCATTACCATACTCAGGTAAGGGAAGGCAGACTTGGGAGTGACTGGAGTTAAAGCAGAATAAGGTTGGCAGCCTTAAACTTTCTGGAAGTATTGTCCTTGTACAGAAATTGTCCTAAGGTCATTGACCTTTATAGTGAATTTGTGCCTTAATCTCTAAATATATAAAGGTCATTTATGTTAAATAGAGTAAAAGTTTGCTTTAGATCTTAAAAATAACTTTCTGATGAGAAAAATGGTATATGGACACTGTTTTCTTACTCATTGATACTTTGAATTTACAGAAGAGAGGCTTACTCAAGATAGTTGACTAAAGTGGGGTGTGTGCGTGTGTGTGTGTGCACGCATGTGTGTATGTAAGATTGTAGAAATAATACATCAGGCAGTCTCTCATGGGCATCCAAGAATAGGAACAAGGCACACAGAAACTGGAACAAGAAAGTCAGCAGCTCAGGCTCCACTACCCTTTCCAGGGGGCCAGTGTTCCCTTTGTCATTACCTGCTTCTGAGTCTAAGCTACTGTTACACTTCTCTTTGAAACAAGGTCTCTCTTATCACTGATGGTTTCTTTGCTCCCTTATGACTTCAGCTTGGGGATTGCTTTGGTTTGGTTTGGCACCTACTCCAGCCCCAACTCTACACAACTTTGCAGAAAAGCACCTACCAGCATCTTACTAATTAGTCTCTGTGTTTGTTAGAGTTCTCATGACTGTAGAAGACCATAATTTAAATGAATTTATGAAAAACAAAGAATTTTTTTGGTTTGTACAATCAGGAAGGATATTGTTGGTCAGCCTCAGGCATGACTGATCCAGTCATACACAATACTGTCCAAATGCTATCTCTGTCTCTTAGCTGCATTTCTATTTGCATGTTGTCCTCACGAATCCAGACCACAGAAAGGCTCTTTCCATGCAGCAGTGGAAGGGTGAGGCTGGGCATGGCTACTGGCAGCTCAGGGTTACATCATCATAGCTTTTGAGCCCAGAGGACAGAGCTTTTCCTAACTCTGCTCCAGCATATGGATTCTAAAGGAGGAACCCTTGGCCTGCCTTGGGTTGGATGGTCACTCTGGATCAGTCGCTAGGGTTGGGTGATGGATATTATAATAGATCCCGTTCCCTTTCCTGAACTTTGGCTTTATATTGTGATATTGGCTTTGTATTGTGATACTATATAGTCCCATTAGAATCACATGGTTTATGTAATGGGGAAGGAGCTGCTGCCTAAAAGGGATTGAGGTAGTGGTTAGTAGAAGAAAATAGGAAAGAATGTTTAAAACAACAGGTATCTACCATAGTTTCTGTGCCTCTTAGTTCAATTTCTTGAGGAAATCTGCTGCATTTATCCCTGCCTTTGGCTTGGTTTCTCCTGGGTTGTTTGCCTACCTGTGACCCAATCAGATGGGCAGCCAACTCATATGTAGGACTGCTGCAGTTAGGGGTCTGGGTGGGGGGCTCGATGAGTGACCTATCTACCACAATAATATAAAACATAATTAGAAAATTATATAAGAAAGAATAGATCCCAGCACACAGAAATCACTACAATAAGTATTTTCATTAATATATTCTTTTATCTATGTGTTAATATATGTCTTTAAAAAATGGGATCAGCTGGGTGTGGTGGCTCACACCTGTAATCCCAGCACTTTGGGAGGCAGAGGCAGGTGGATCACCTGAGGTCAGGAGTTTGAGACCAGCCTGGCCAACATGGCTAAACCTTGTCTCCACTAAAAATACAAAAATTCACCAGGCATGGTGATGCATGCCTGTGCTCCCAGCAACTCAGGAGGCTGAGGCATGATAATTGCTTGACCCTGAGAGGCAGAGTTTCCAGTAAGCTGAGATGGCGCCACTGCACTCCAGCCTGGGCAACAAAGTGAGACTCCATCTCAAAAAAAAAAAAAAAAAAAAAAAAAGGCTGATATTGTTTATACTATTTTGCAACATTCTCTTTTTACTTCATTATCTATTCTTCTACAATGTTAGTGACTTGAACTAGGGTGATGGGGATGGTGATAAGTGGTTGGATTTGACATACAGTACATAAAGGTAGAAGCAGTGGGATTTGCTAATGGATTGAGTATGAGATGTGAAACAAAGAAATTGTCAAAATTATTAGATACTATTGCCTATTCATGGGGGTATATAATGTGAGATTGAAATTAGAAGCTTTTTGGACTAAGATTCATATGTACTGAGCAACTTTTGCTTTTCCAGTTAGGCATTAGGGGGATTCCAAAATAATTTTATGAAAAAAATCCCTGTTCCTACAGAACTTAAAAATCTGCCCAGAGGCAAAATAACCACAAATGAAATGATGAAATGTATGGCAATAAAAATGAGTCACACACCACAGCATGATTGAATTTCACATCTATAACGTTGAGCGAAAGATGTCAGACACAAAACAAGATTATATGATTATATTATTTCATTTATATGAATTTCCAAAACAGGCAAAACTAATCCATGGTGCTAGAAATCAGGATAATGGTTACCACTGAGATGTGGGGAGGGAGATTGAGAAGGATTTCTGGGGTGCTAGTACCATTCTGTTTCTTCACCTGGGGGGTGGTTACATGAGTGTGTTCACTTCATTGATTTTATTGAGCTTATGATTTGTATAATTTTCTGGACATGTGTTATATTTAAATTTAAAAAGGTTAAAAACACTCCAGTTCTACATTGTGTATTCCTGATTCCAAGTGCAAGAAAAGGGTATCTAAAGAGGGAAAACCCAGCTTAGGCTTGAGGAAAAGGGATAAGAATAAGGCCTAGAGGCCTGGTGGTGGAGAAGATGGTCCCAATGGTAGGACACATGGGGCCTGAGTGTGAAGTAAGAAAGTGAGGGCCAACATGGGGCACAGTGAATAGAGCGGCTCAGCTGAAGTAAAAGATGCACAATGTGACATGTAAGATGGGAGCTGAGGCTCAGAGGTGATTCAGGAGAGATGGGGTTGGGGGTCTTGAGTGCCAGGCTGTGCAGCGCGGGCCTTTTCTTTTACACAGTGTGAAGTTACTGAAGCTTTGGCATATTTATTGCAATGTGTCAGGATGTTGAAGAGGAAGGTCCTGGGTCAATGGAGTGGTGGGGTGGATGGAACTGTCATGGTGGGGCTGGAGAGGGGGTGAATGGAAGACTGTGTGCTTGAGCGTCTCAGATAGGCCTGGGGATGTTGATCTTGGCTAGTATTCTGCTCCCAGTTCTTGTTAGTGTAGATGTTTGGGTGTGCATCCTTTCCTAAGTGGGCCTCAGGGGCATCAGACTCAGGCTTGGTGTTCAGGGATAGCTTTGTAATGTACCCCTGAGGATTCCCTCATGTTTGGATCCTTCTCAGAAAGTGCGTGCTCTCGCCTGAGCCAATCCCACCCCGTCCCCCACCCTAGAGGGATCCAAACATGGGCCCCTTCTAGAGTATGCCCCCTTTAGCCCTTGACAGTGCAGAGTCTGTTAGCAGCAATGCAAGCCTCAGTGCCCAGCAACGAAGCCCAGGGCCTGGGCCAGCAGTGTGGGCAGGATATGCTAGGGGTCAGCCCCTTCTACCTTATTTAAGCAAATGTGAGTAATTCTGAATCCTCCCACTGAACCCCTTTTAGCTTATTGACTCCTCTGTAGAGTGCAGATGGTGGAGGACAGGGGTAGTTTCTTCATTTCTAGGAATGCTGGGCAACTGAAATTCCCATGTAGAGAAGCATCTTTCCTTTGTCTTCACACTTTGTAGCTAACCCGATATGCTGTCCACGGAGAGAATAGTTGATTAAGGCAGAAGCATGGGCCTGATGAGATGTATCCCAGAGCCAAAAGGGACAGTATCCTTCCCTCTAAGGTGGATCAGTATCTCAGTAGGGGCAGGGAAGATAGAATTTGTTCTTTGCTAATATTGTAGAATAGGAGAGCTTCTAGAAAATAACAGCAATACCTGATACAGTGTTTTATGATTTCACACATCATCTGAATGATCATACGTTGGTTCCTCAAGATCCTTGGCAATGATCCATCATCTGAATTATCTTATTTTCCATTTTGTGCTTCTCAACCAGGTTGTGAGAAAGAAGAGGAAAAGAGCATTACTGCTGCTTGTCATGTGAGGATTCACGTACAGATAGTAAGGAAGGTAAGGGATTTTTTCAGTCTCAAGAACGGTAAAAGGCACAGGTGTGACTTGAACCCAGGACTCTTGGCTTCAAGTCCAGAGTTTTCTCTGTGCACCAGCTCCCCCTCAACAGGATTTGACTATCCTGCAGTAACCCTTGAGTAAGTTTAGTCCTTGGGAAGCTTGGCCTGCCAGTCTCTGAAAAAATATGATGGGGTTGGTGGTGCATGTTGGGTTGAGGGGACAGAGGAGGGGTAAATGGAAGAAGCAGGTTGATGGTTGTTGTCTATCAGGTAACACAGTGTTTCTTTTCCCATTTTCTTTGGAATCAAGAAGCAACCAAGTCTGGGCTGAGCAGAGAACTAGAGAGGGTGCAGGAAGGATGGTAGCAGGAAAGGGGAACAAAGCACCGTCCAGGAGCTTAGTGGAGACTGCCCTCTTTCTCTCTCCAACTGGGTCAGACTGTGTAGATAGTGTGGGAGGTGCAGCTGGTCAGTGCTTTACCAAAGGTGACTTCCTCACACACTTAGGGTTAGGGCCAGAGGATTTGTAGACCTCTCTGTGCTGGAACGGATGCCATACCTTGTAACTTCCTCAGCAATGTAAAATATCCAGCAGTTACCTTCCAGCTGTCTACAACATGAGTGCACGCTCATCGGGCAAGAGGTCACAGCTAGAGCAACAATCCACACGAGTTGGGAAGGGCTCATTTCACCTGTCAAACACTGCTGTTCTCAAGTGGAATGCATTGTGGCTTTTTGATCAAAATAATTACCATGGAAGATCCTAGGTGGCAGCAAAGCCCAGGTGAGCAGTCTGAGCCATGGAGGTAGCACAGGGGACTCCAGCCGAGGAGAGTACAGAGCAAACATTTGGCATTTGGGGGCTGCCTGGGAGCAGCAATTCCTGTTACAATCTAAGGTATGTATCTTTGTCTTCATTAAGCTTCTTGATATTTCTGATGTCAGGAAATGATTTTCCAGTGGGTGCGGTGGCATCTCATGCAAAGATGTATTTTGCGAATTAAATTAATTAAGCCTTGATTTCTCATCTTACCATTCCCAGATTTGGTGACCAAGTCAAAGTTCATCCTCCATATTATTCTAGATTTTATAGACTCTGCGTATATCTCCACTTAGTAATTTCTGAAAGAGAGAGAGAGAGAGAGAGAGAGAGAGAGAGAG